CTTTACTGTGTCAATTTGTGCAACATTCTACTGTGTCAATTTGTGCAACACTCTACTGTGTCAATTTGTGCAACACTTTACTGTGTCAATTTGTGCAACATTCTATAGTGTCAATTTGTGCAACACTCTACTGGGTCCATTTGTGCAACACTCTACTGTGTCACTTTGTGCAACACTTTACTGTGTCAATTTGTGCAACACTCCACTGTGTCACTGTGTGCAACATTCTATTGTGTCAATTTGTGCAACATTCTATTGTGTCAATTAGTGCAACATTCTATTGTGTCAGTTTGTGCAACATTCTACTGTGTCAGTTAGTGCAACATTCTATTGTGTCAATTTGTGCAACATTCTATTGTTTCAATTTGTGCAACATTCTATTGTTTCAATTTGTGCAACATTCTACTGTGTCACTGTGTGCAACATTCTACTGTGTCACTGTGTGCGACATTCTACAGCATCAACATCTTAGAATGTGCTGTACCAGAGATATGTCAATAGTGTGCTTAATAAAACCATATTTCAGTATGTTATAATTGAAATTTAACTACACTCTCTGATGCTATCATGGCAATGTTACTACTCTTTCATGCTATCACAGAAATTGTACTACTGTCTCGTGCTATCATGGCAATGTTACTACTCTTCCATGCTATCATAGACATGTTACTACTCTCTCATGCTATCATGGCAATGTTACTACTCCCTCATGCTATCATGCAATGTTACTACTCTTTCATGCTATCATAGACATGTTACTACTCTCTCATGCTATCATGGCAATGTTACTACTCTCTCATGCTATCATGACAATATTACTACTCTTGCATGCTATCATAGACATGTTACTACTCTCATGCTATCATGATAATGTTACTACTCTGTCATGCTATCATGGCAATGTTACTACTCTCTCATGCTATCATGATAATGTTACTACTCCGTCATGCTATCATGGCAATGTTACTACTCTCATGCTATCATGATAATGTTACTACTCTGTCATGCTATCATGGCAATGTTACTACTCTCTCATGCTATCATAGCAATGTTACTACTCTCTCATGCTATCATGACAATGTTACTACTCTTGCATGCTATCATAGACATGTTACTACTCTCATGCTATCATGATAATGTTACTACTCTGTCATGCTATCATGGCAATGTTACTACTCTCTCATGCTATCATAGACATGTTACTACTCTCTCATGCTATCATGGCAATGTTACTACTCTCTCATGCTATCATAGACATGTTACTACTCTCTCATACTATCATAGACATGTTACTACACTCTCATGCTATCATGGCAATGTTACTACTCTCTCATGCTATCATGGCAATGTTACTACTCTCTCATGCTATCATGGCAATGTTACTACTCTCTCATGCTATCATAGACATGTTACTACTCTCTCATGCTATCATAGACATGTTACTACTCTCTCATGCTATCATGGCAATGTTACTACTCTCTCATGCTATCATGGCAATGTTACTACTCTCTCATGCTATCATAGACATGTTACTACTCTCTCATGCTATCATGGCAATGTTACTACTCTCTCATGCTATCATGGCAATGTTAGGTGCTTTACACTGCCACAGTGGAAAAATGCCTATACCTCAAGGTGCTGTAATACAAAGCTACCTACTCCAGCATGTTATAATTTCAAAAAATGTACCACAATGTAGTATGTATGTTCTAATGCAGAAACAGAAATAACTGTGCAGCAAACTATAAAGAATGCCTACCTGACCCATTGCAGATAAAGTCTGGATCAAACTTATCCATGAACCCAAATGGGCCGTAGTCAATGGTGACCCCAGCTATGCTCATGTTGTCTGTGTTGAGTACCCTGTAGGGGGAAGAACAAGTCATCAGCTACATCCGGACCACAAACATCCAAGCACATTCTGCAGGCCTGACCACTATACTTACAAAATATGAGGAGAAACCTGGCCTCAAGAGCAAAGCTATGAGGAACCATGAAAGACCTGCAACTGACATGTGAGCACAGATGGTCTGACCTGAGCACATGAAAGCAAACATAGAGAAGATCAGTTACATGCTCCATCCCAAAGACCATCAAAGCCTCCAGGTGGCTAGGCAATAGCTGACAGTTTTCTCAACTATAAAAAGCTGAAAGAATTTGTTTGTGTAACAGACAAGTTCTCTTGTGATATGACTGTTAATTTTTATAGTTTAAGTCAGTACTGTAAACAATCTGTATTTTAGTCTCAGAAGGTATTACAGACAGAGCTTTAATCTAGTGCTACAGAAAACTACACAGTATCTGCACCTTTTAGGCTTCCCCCCTCAGTGCTACTGAACTAGACACTCTGTGATAAGTACCAGTTTCTGGCTTACACACTCTGTGATAAATATTAGTTCCTCGCTTAACACTCTATGGTAAGTACAGATCTGTAAAACTGATGTGCATGCAAAACTCAAGTTTTGAAAAAAATTCCATAGTCCAGAAGTGTATGAACAACCAGAACTTTTCCACCAGAGTTTACAGCTGGTGAAAATGAACTTTTCCACCAGAGTTTACAGCTGGTGAACGTGAACTTTTCCACCAGAGTTTACAGCTGGTGAACGTGAACTTTTCCACCAGAGTTTACAGCTGGTGAACATGAACTTTTCCACCAGAGTTTACAGTTGATGAACGTGAACTTTTCCACCAGAGTTTACAGCTGGTGAACGTGAACTTTTCCACCAGAGTTTACAGCTGGTGAATGTAAACTTTTCCACCAGAGTTTACAGCTGGTGAACGTGAACTTTTCCACCAGAGTTTACAGCTGGTGAACGTGAACTTTTCCACCAGTTTACAGCTGGTGAACGTGAACTTTTCCACCAGTTTACAGCTGGTGAACGTAAACTTTTCCACCAGAGTTTACAGCTGGTGAATGTGAACTACTCCACCAGTTTACAGCTGGTGAACGTGAACTATTCCACCAGTTTACAGCTGGTGAACGTGAACTATTCCACCAGAGTTTACAGCTGGTGAACGTAAACTTTTCCACCAGAGTTTACAGCTGGTGAATGTGAACTTTTTCACCAGAGTTTACAGGTGGTGAATGTGAATAATAAGAAGAAGATACAGTAGCAGCATGTAATAAAATCTGACTCAATCAGTAAAAACAATGGAACTGCCTCACTAAGACTATCAGACAGACAACAGATCACACAGGACTCTAGTCATAGGGATAGAGAGTGTCAGGGTGGGGACACTGTCTGATCTATCCATTGGTGAACAGATGAGTTATGTGAATACTGATGTTGGAAAACCTGGCTATCAAATTTGTTTTTTTTTAAATCCCTTCCGAGACTGCAACTTGAAGGTTTGACATAAACAGACTCAAAGGGCCACATTTCAGTTGTCAAATCAACAGAAACAAATCCAAGACATCAATTCAACTGTTTAAGATAGTTGCAAGTTAAAGCAAACAGAACTGACTTCATTACCCACGGTTATCCTATACGGTTTGGACTATCTCCATAGAATGGCTAGCCACCTGCTGAGTGTGTCACATGAAGCATGAACTCCACAGCTCTAGAATCATTCACATAAATCTCCATGAAAACTGCACTACTGAACTGAGTGACCTGTTCTGGAAATGAGCCAATGATCTTCAGAGCTGGAGGAAAACTGTTTGAACATCTCACCTTGCAGACCCCCCCCCCCTCTCCCAATATATAAAGTAAAAAGCCACTCTTTCACACCATGAGGCATATTGGGCATACAGTGCTAGACCTATATTTTATAGACCAACTGGCTCATGGTAGCTGAAATGATCAACATCACACTGGCCATTTTTACTTCCCAGGTCTTTACCTGGTACCCACTTCAGGCTGGGTCACCCTGGGAGACAAGGTGATTTCTGACAAAAATGTCTGGCTCTATTCAGATCTGAACCCCCAACCTTTGGAACCACAGGCAAGCATCTAGCAGCTACACCCCTCCCCACATATATATCACACAGTTAAGCTGAGGTAGTCTACAGACACACAAATTAACCTGTGTCCTGTTTGGGTACAAATGAATTCTGTGATATTCAATTGGAGAAGTTCAACAAGAAGGTATGAAAGTAAATTAATCACTTCACTTAAGAACTTTATTAAGGTTACAGTGTTGCTGATAATGCAAGTGAGGTGAACCGTGAACCTACCCGTGACACCAGCCCACACACTGCCACTCCGCCACAAGTCTGGCGGTTCTCCTCACCACCTCCTTGTAAAACTCAACATACATGACATCCTTGTTGCTCTTGTGCTCCATCCAGATCTGCAGAAATATAAGGCATTTAACACAAAATGATATGTAAGTTACACATATACCTATGCCAGAGCAAGCCATAGAGTTGTGAGCTGATCAGCTTTCACATTTACTAGATCACTTCACGCCGGGTAACCTGCTCTCTTCTCCACTATCTTCTCTTCGGGGGAGGGATGTTGGGTAATTAGATATGCCAGGATCCCACAAATAGTCACCCTAATCTGGGAACTTATATCAGACTATCTGAGTGGTACTTCAGGGTACCACTGTACCACTATGGATAATTATACAGAATTACAGACTAAAACATTCTTAGAGCTTTTACCCTCAACTCTTACAAGATACACAGAGCGTTGGAGATTCATTGCAGCCATCTTTCCCTGTGTACATGGCACCGGACTGACTGAGAAATCAACTGGCTGATTTAGAAATCAACCAAGTGATGGAGAAATCACCTTCTTTTGACCCTCACTTGCTGACTTTCAAACCACAAACAAAGAAACCAGCTACATATCACACCAACTTTCAGGGCAGCAGCAAACCTGCCTGTCCCATCACCACCCATTACAAGCTACACTAACAATTATGTTCTGTATCATTTTATTCTGATCTCTCTCCACAGCTTTGTTCCAGCTAAGGATGGAAACCAGACCATTAGTGAAGCAGGCACCACGGCTTGTGTGCTCTATAGTGTGTTTGAAAACATATGCTGTCACACTTGAGCAAATCCTCTATAGTGTGTTTTAAACATATGCTGTCACACTTGAGCAAATATCTTGAAGACTCCTCTATAGTGTTTTAAACATATGCTGTCACACTTGAGCAAATATCTTGAAGACTCCTCTATGGATCAACACACATTTGTGCATGTAGCCTTGAATTCCTTATGATTCTACAATTGACAACTGCGCAGATGTTGCTGTTTTCTTAAAGCGGCAAATTTCTTGATCTTTGTTTGACCAATAATTTCTGTACTCCTGAAAAACAGAATCTACAGTAAATGACACATGTATGGAGTTTGTTTGGAAATCAGTTCACATGTGCAGCAATGCAAGGTGAGTATTTTGATAGCCTACTCCCCACTCAATGAAAAATCTGCAAGTCCCGGAAGACTTTTGCTAGAGATGACCATCTGAGAGAAAAAAACGCCTTTGACACTCCTACAATCTGATGTTTTGAAATGTTCATCTTACTAAATTTACTCAAGTAACTCTAAACATGAAGAATGTTGGTTTTGAATCGGTGTCTGTTTTTTCACATACCACAAATAAGGTAAACTGAAAACTAGACATTTGTTTACATTTTAAAAAAGTCTGACAAGAATATGTTTATGAACAGACTGCATGCCAGATTTCAACAACCAACAGGCTGCATGCCAGATTTCAACAACCAACAGGCTGCATGCCAGATTTCAACAACCAACAGGCTGCATGCCAGATTTCAACAACCAACAGGCTGCATGCCAGATTTCAACAACCAACAGGCTGCATGCCAGATTACAACAATCAACAGGCTGCATGCCAGATTTCAACAACCAACATCTAATGGTTACAAGTTACAAATTATTACAGTTTGGCAGGACTTCTGTAGTGGACTCTAGTATCTTGTATCAATATGTCAGCTCTAGTATCTTGTATCAATATGTCAGCTCTAGTATCTTGTAGCAATGTGTCCACTCTAGTATCTTGTAGCAATATGTCCGCTCTAGTATCTTGTATCAATATGTCTGCTCTAGTATCTTGTAGCAATATGTCCACTCTAGTATTCTGTATCAATATGTCGACTCTTGTATCTTGTAGCAAAATGTCCACTCTAGTGTCTTGTATCAATATGTCCACTCTAGTATCTTGTATCAATATGTCCGCTCTAGTATCTTGTATTAATATGTCTGCTCTAGTATCTTGTATCAATATGTCTGCTCTAGTATCTTGAACCAAATGTCCGCTCTAGTATCTTGTATCAATATGTCCGCTCTAGTATCTTGTATCAATATGTCTGCTCTAGTATCTTGTATCAATATGTCTGCTGTAGTATCTTGTAGCAATATGTCCGCTCTAGTATCTTGTATCAATATTTCCACTCTAGTATCTTGTAGCAATATGTCCGCTCTAGTATCTTGTATCAATATGTCCACTCTAGTATCTTGTATCAATATGTCTGCTCTAGTATCTTCTATCAATATGTCCGCTCTAGTATCTTGTACCAAATGTCCACTCTAGTATTTTGTATTAATATGTCTACTTTAGTATCTTGTAGCAATATGTCCGCTGTAGTCTCTTGTAGCAATATGTCTGCTCTAGTATCTTGTAGCTCTCTTTTTTCTTTGCATTCACCTGCTGTTAACTCAGGCGGAAAGTTCTGGCTGTTCATCCATTTTTTAACTTAAGTAGTTTTCTTCAAATTTTTAGGTTAAGGAAACATCCCTAATTAATTGCCTTTTACGACCTGTTTGTTAGAGGACAATGGGTCTACTCTTTCCCCTCAATGGGGCCATGGAACCCACATGGGCCGTATCTTGTACCTTTATACCCGTTTTGTAGTATTAACTATGCCAACATGACTGACAGTAGCATCTCACCTGGGGGTAGAAATTCTCAACTGTGTAGTCCAACATGGCAGTCAAGATGTCTGTACGTCCCACGCTGGGGCCAGCCCTGCCTGTTTCTGGGTCAGTAGGTTTGAATATTTCAAAAGAGCCAAATCTGGACAATAAATACACAAATGTCAATGAAAATGGTGCCAGTAACGAATTTCTAACAGTCAATCACTATTGTAATAAAACTGTTAAATCACTAAGACACAAAGACTGAAATGGTTCAACCACCCAATGAAAATACATAAAGTGATGCTGGCAGTGACAGCAACAAGAAAATGGAAACATCAAGAGGCAGGGGAAGACCAGGAAGATGGATGGAAGGAGCCACTGACAGCCTAAGGCTTCACAACATCATAGCATACCAAGCAAATGAGCATGCCCTGGCTCAGCTACCTATCATTTGTGCAGCCTATCGGCACAAAGCAGATACTGACAAGAGAAGACAAATCACAGTTGTAATTTAGCAGTTATCCCAACGACTACCATGATCCCACGCTAAGCGATCCACCGATGTTTACGCATGGCTATCATGATCGCACTTCCTGCAATCAAAACTTGAGTTGCTGGCCGCCAGGTTAAAATTGTGACTTGAGTCGCTGGCCGCCAGGTTAAAATTGTGACTTGAGTCGCTGGCCGCCAGGTTAAAATTGTGACTTGAGTCGCTGGCCGCCAGGTTAAAATTGTGACTTGAGTCGCTGGCCGCCAGGTTAAAATTGTGACTTGAGTCGCTGGCCGCCAGGTTAAAATTGTGACTTGAGTCGCTGGCCGCCAGGTTAAAATTGTGACTTGAGTCGCTGGCCGCCAGGTTAAAATTGTGACTTGAGTCGCTGGCCACCAGGTTAAAATTGTGACTTGAGTTGCTGGCCACCAGGTTAAAATTGTGACTTGAGTCGCTGGCAGCCAGGTTAAAATTGTGACTTGAGTCGCTGGCCGCCAGGTTAAAATTGTGACTTGAGTCGCTGGCCACCAGGTTAAAATTGTGACTTGAGTTGCTGGCCACCAGGTTAAAATTGTGACTTGAGTCGCTGGCCGCCAGGTTAAAATTGTGACTTGAGTCGCTGTGACAATACGCTCGGTGACTTCAGAAAGTCTTTCCTCAACCTACTTTTATTTGTGTGTATTTTGAAGTATACAGACAAATAGGGATTTGGATACATCCTTAATCTAAATAGGACGACCACATCACACCTTTAATTCTCCTGGACCGTTGGTCATATCAAACACTAAAACTTTTTCCCAGATGTTAAGTGTTAAGGTACAGAGATAAGACTGACCAAGCAGACTTACTGACTGGAGATTTGCACACCATTTGTTGGTGTCAGATAGTTATTCCCCCTGCCAGATCTTCAGGAACAGATAACAAGGGCTAATTGCCATTATCTCCCCCTGAGGTTACCTAAACTGGAGTGCCGGTCAGATCGTCACTATTGACACAGTGAGCGGAAAGTGTTGGCAGAAGAATTGACAAAGTCGGATTTTATTGTGATGACAGGTGAAGTAGACTGGAGGTGTGACTAGGCCTATTAGCTGGGACCAGCTTAATTGAACCTGTAGAATGTGAGCGTGGGAATTCAAACAATTGTTGTACAGTCACTGACTGACAGTGAATATACACCCACAGGGAGGAGCTGTGATATCCCTGAATGAGAATGATTTTAGGCGTAATGTAGGAGGAGCTTAATAAAAGTTATAAAGGGGTGAACTATAGGTCTGGTAAATGAGATCCTGGCCAGCACATGCCATCTGTTGGGCTTAACCTAAGCTTGAGACAGAACTTTTGGCATTGTGGTTTCATTTTTCCAGGTAAGATCGAAATTAGTTTCAAATCTATATTTTATGATAGAGATCTAACTGTCTTTTTGCTCAAGTGTGTGTCTTCATCACTTTGTAATACTCCTAGGCGGATATTTCTTCATTCTCGTAGGGCACTGTCACATTGCTCTATTTCCTATTTGATAGTGTCATGAATGTTTTTCGTGCACATGTGTTTCAATGTTGTAAAACCTAAATGTTGTTGTCGCCATTGAAATTTAATGAACTATCATGTTTTTGAAATCACAAGCGTGAAGATAACTTTGGCAATCTTTTCACGTGTGGTTAATGTGAATCTGTATTACATACAGCTTACACACTGAAATGTGTTTAACTCTCGGGAGGCTAATGCGGAGATTGATCCCGGAGAGTAAATCCACGAGATTTGTTATTTGATTCGCCCCAAAACTATTGTTAGCATTCTGGGCGCGTCGATTGTTCCAAGCATAGATTCCAGAACTGGTTCTGTCTGACTGATTGTCAATTTGAGTCTGTACAAGAGATGGCACCTGACGTAGAAGACTTGACTATCATTACAGGACGTGTAGAGGAAGGCAGAAGATGTAACAGTTGGAATGTGAGACATAAGCCCTTCCAAATTGGACAGGAGTGAATGTGAGCATGAGGGAGAGATGAAATGTTTTATTTAAATAAACATGCTTGATGTTAGTATAATATACATGCTTAGTGTACATCTAGAGCAGATACTACAAATATGCGCTTGTTTCTTCATTCTCCAGTTCCCACATTGGGCAGGGACTAGTAGGCATCCATTATTTGCCGACCGTCGAGTGTAACGACCTGCAGAAAGCAGTGAGGACGACAAACTGGAAAAGTTAGGCAGGGTCTCAAGCCGAGAACTGTCCAAAGGTTGTTACTTTCCAATACCTTTATGAAATCATCATTCACATAACCTAAACTCTACTAGCCTAAACAAGTTCATTTTAATTTCGATTTATTAAATAAATCTTTTTGATGTTGTTACACAGAGTTAAGTAAATTGTGTACTTAGGTTCAAGTGTCTTTGTGCATATTAGTTTACTTCAGCTAACAAATATTTAAATCACTTGATGGGGGCTTTTTAGCAATGCCAGGAGAGGAGACCAGTCGCAGGGGTTAACTGAGCACCTGGATTATATCACAGTGGATTTATCCAGATATCTATCTATCCCTTCTCCTTCTCCTGTGGATACAAGTACAGCAACTTTCATTTCATGGAACGAGCCACTCGCTGTTTTCTTGGCTATCCAGGACTGTCTAGGATCAACATAGCTTAGATAATAGATCAGTTTCTCACGTGGGTGGGCATTGTTAAGGATCAAACCCACACTCTCACTATATCAGTGTATTTACCCACGTGGGCGCGCGACAGTCGCTGGCAGCCAGGTTAAAATTGTGACTTGAGTCGCTGGCAGCCAGGTTAAAATTGTGACTTGAGTCGCTGGCAGCCAGGTTAAAATTGTGACTTGAGTCGCTGGCAGCCAGGTTAAAATTGTGACTTGAGTTGCTAGCAGCCAGGTTAAAATTGTGACTTTAGTCACTGGCCACCAGGTTAAAATTGTGACTTTAGTCATTGGCCACCAGGTTAAAATTTTGACTTTAGTCACTGGCCACCAGGTTAAAATTGTGACTTTAGTCACTGTTTATTTAAGGGACACAATTTGATAGTGCTTAAAGTAAACTTTCCAGGCATTTTTTTTGGGGGGAGGGGGAGGGGTTGGCTCCCATGTCAATTACGCGTTAGGCACATGTTTGCATAACAAGGCTAATCATTAGGGCTTGTGTGGTCAAACAGTTGGGAGAATATTTATGATGCAATGGGACACTGTCTTGACTGTTTTAAATCGGAGAACAAAGGTGAAGATATTTCCAAACAGTTTGATGACTGTGACTTTGAAAATTCTTACAATCACAATCAAGAATGGAAGATGATGTTTAGCTTACATCAGTGGTGTGTTTTGTTACTTCAGATTGGGGAAACTGTTTCATGAATGTGCTTCAGGTGTGTATTGTTACTTCAGATTGGAGAAACTGTTTCATGAATGTGCTTCAGGTGTGTATTGTTACTTCAGATTGGAGAAACTGTTTCATGTATGTGCTTCAGGTGTGTATTGTTACTTCAGATTGGAGAAACTGTTTCATGTATGTGCTTCAGGTGTGTATTGTTACTTCAGATTGGAGAAACTGTTTCATGTATGTGCTTCAGGTGTGTATTGTTACTTCAGATTGGGGAAACTGTTTTCATGTATGTGCTTCAGGTGTGTATTGTTACTTCAGATTGGAGAAAACTGTTTCATGTATGTGCTTCAGGTGTGTATTGTTACTTCAGATTGGAGAAACTGTTTCATGTATGTGCTTCAGGTGTGTATTGTTACTTCAGATTGGAGAAACTGTTTCATGTATGTGCTTCAGGTGTGTATTGTTACTTCAGATTGGAGAAACTGTTTCATGTATGTGCTTCAGGTGTGTATTGTTACTTCAGATTGGAGAAACTGTTTCATGTATGTGCTTCAGGTGTGTATTGTTACTTCAGATTGGAGAAACTGTTTCATGAATGTGCTTCAGGTGTGTATTGTTACTTCAGATTGGAGAAACTGTTTCATGAATGTGCTTCAGGTGTGTATTGTTACTTCAGATTGGAGAAACTGTTTCATGAATGTGCTTCAGGTGTGTATTGTTACTTCAGATTGGAGAAACTGTTTCATGAATGTGCTTCAGGTGTGTATTGTTCAATGTCTCTGTTAGTGCAGATTGTGTACAGCAGGGCTCTGAGGCTGAGAGTTTAGTGAAAATCGTTTCACAATGCTGTCACAAGACGATGGTGTCACAAGACGATGCTGTCACAAGACGATGGTGTCACATGTCTGTATTAGGGTTTCCTCTAATAATAATAGACACTCTGAAGTGACTTAATGTTGAGATGGCGGCTCGTGTTGGTCTAGAGGTACTCCGCAGCTCCAACAACCATCCAACATCACTTCAGGGATGAGGCAACTCAAATTATGGGCACCACGAAATAATAACTATTGCTGGGCACAACTTGGCCAGATTTCCTCACCATTTGTTAGCTCCCAGACTGGATAGGATCACTATCATAGTAAAAAAAAAACATTATTAAAAGAAATCTGAAGATATAACAATATACTCCACTGATCTAAATAAAGAAAACAGTGAAATACTTTACACCAACCAAGATGAATTCAAAATAACAATGCATGATGTATTGTACAAAGGTAAGACGTATCAATGGATTGATCAAAGAGACAGAACAATAGTATGACAAAGTCCAGTCAAAAATGTTTACAGGCTTGATTTAAATACACTGATGGATATCATCACTGCTCTGAAGATGAACAAAAGGCATAGTAAGTTCAGACAAAAACTGACTGATTGGCTGCACGATCTGGCATCCTGTAACATTTACTTATATTGGTGTCAGAAGATTTTTAGCTGCCTTTTGTGCACCAATCTACAGCGAAATTATGTTGATTACAAGATTTTAAAAATTTGTATCATTGAAGATTGTTCTCATATAGAGACACAGACAACTTGAGACTTCATAACATCACGGCATATGAAGCGACTGAGCGCGCCCTGGCTCGGTTGCCGATCATCTGATAGACTGCGACGCCTAGCGGCACAAGCAGATTTTGACAAAAGAAAGAAAGAAGATTGTTCGTCATTGAATTTGATGCAAAAATGTGAAATGTTATGAGTTTATATGAAATAGTTGTGAAGCTATGGCATGTTTGTTAATCCATATTGATGTCAAAAAATTAAAAACACATTTTTGATTGCCTTTTGCTGCACTAATGTACAGCCACATGATGATGATGATGTCAAACAAGACTATGCAGTTTCTAGTCTTGTAATTTGTTCTCTATTTCAATTTGGTGTCAAAATGCAAAATATGTGTGTTTGCCAAATAGTTGTTTTTGGCATTTTTAAGTAGACACTAAAGTACGTGGTATCTGGGAAAGTGCAAGGTATAACAGGCTTGGTAGTCACCGGGTTATTCTGTGTATACAGTTTGACTGGTAAAGTGATAGAGTAAATTGGTAGTTAGTCTGTTAGTTCCAATGAAAATGTATTAGATTATATCATATATAAGTGTTCGAGAGAAAATATTAAACAAGACTCAATGTTCAAACTCTATAAGGAAAGGTAAAAAGACTTAGCAATTCTTAAAGATAATTCAGATATACACGGCCAGACAAGAAAAATTGAAACAAGGCTGAAGATGCCTCTACATCCTAGGGTAGAAAAAGACATAGACTAAACAAGACTAGGATAGGGTAACAGTTCACCATTGATGAGAAGAGGAAAGGCTTAATAAATTGAAACAAGGCTGAAGATACCTCTACATCCTAGGGTAGAAAAAGACATAGACTAAACAAGACTAGGAGAGGGTAACAGTTCACCATTGATGAGAAGAGGAAAGGCTTAATGAGAGCACGCTCACAATACAGTGGTAGGCGAAGGACTGAAAGAATCAAAGGAATGACTTCACACCTGGTCTATCTATAGCTGCACTCCCAGATTTAGCCTAGGACACTCACCAGACAATCTTACCTGAGAAATGTTGGAGCAATCCTCAGAACTATCGTGCACCTCTCCTGAACTGGGTGCCCATCATAGAAAATATCACGGATGACCTTGGAGTCAGATGTGATGCAGGTGCCGGCCCGTGTGGTGGGGATACCGAGGTGGTACATGGCCTAGAGTGTCATACAACAACACGGGCATGTTAACACAGATTTCAACTACATGCCATTACTGGCTTTTGAAATGATCAAACCTTCTCATTTTGCTACTTATTCTCTATCTTTGTTTACAATTTATTCTCTATCTTTGTTTACAACTTAGTCTCTACTTCTTTTACAATTTATTCTGCATCTTCTTCTTCCTTCAATTTTCTCATCTGCTACTGTCTAAGTTCTCTTTCTCTCTTCTTATTTTTCTTCCTATCTTCTGCTCGCATTATCTCTCTTTCCATATTCCTCTTGGCTTAAAAAACAAATCTTCTTGTTCCTTTCTGTCTCCTTGTTTCTTATTCTTTTCTTCCTTAACTCATTCTCCTGATCTTTCCAGGCTTTTGTATTTTGACTGTGCATCCAAACTATGAATTTGATAAATGAACAAAGTATACTTGATATATAGAATACAACTGCTGTATGAAAGATCAGTGCTTGAAAGGGACAAATGTAAGATGGGCCTGAATGACCAATTTGTAACCATTTGGAAATAGAGTGTGTTTATTTACTTGTTCCTTATTCTACCTCTTTAGTTCTCTTTCTCATATTTTCTTGTATTATTTCTTTTCTTTAACAATCATGTTGTTCTTTTAATTTGTATCTCATAATGAAGCAAAAACCTTCAAGATAAAGTCTGTTAAGCTGCATACACAACACATTCATCCGCACCTTGTTGACTAATTAAAAAAGTGGATTGCACAAACAGGAAATGTCCCCTCATAAAACCTAGCAGTGCCAGAAAACTCCACTGGCAGTGCTGAGTGCTGAAATTACTTGTATATTTACTAAACCCCAGTACTTGATTGTGCCGGACACATTATTTTTTACTCTGCCTCCACCTTAGTCCCCACACTTTCACACCACACAAGGCACTTAGCAAGACTATCTCATGAGTCATACTGACTACTTCAGAGTACAGACTAACTCACATCGGATATTATCTCACTTGATGAAAACTCACAACAGACATCACCTAACCACAGACTAACTCACATCAGACATTATCTCACTTGATGGAAACTCACAACAGACATTACCTCACTTGATGGAAACTCACAACAGACATTACCTCACTTGATGGAAGCTCACAACAGATATTACCTCACTTGATGGAAACTCACAACAGACATTACCTCACTTAATGGAAACTCACAACAGACATTACCTCACTTGATGGAAACTCACAACAGACATTACCTCACTTGATGGAAACTCACAACAAACATTACCTCATTGATGGAAACTCACAACAGACATTATCTCACTTGATGAAAACTCACAACAGACATCACCTCACCACAGACTAACTCACATAAGACATTACCTCACTTGATGGAAACTCACAACAGACATTACCTCACTTGATGGAAACTCACAACAGACATTACCTCACTTGATGAAAACTCACAACAGACATTACCTCACCACAGACTAACTCACATCAGACATTATCTCACTTGAAGGAACACAACAGACATTACCTCACTTAAGACTCACTCTCAAAAGATATTACCTAATTACAGAAAAACAATAGACATTACCTCACTGCAAAGAAAAACATACCTCACTGCAGACTAACTCACAAGGGACATTTCCTCACTTCAGAGAAAGTCACAACAGACATTACCTCACTGCAGACTAACTCACAAGGGACATTTCCTCACTTCAGAGAAAGTCACAACAGACATTACCTCACTACAGAGAACGTCACATTATCTCACTGCAGAGAACGTCACAACAGACATTACCTCACTACAGAGAACGTCACAACAGACATTACCTCACTACAGAGAAACTCTCTGACAGAACTCCTCAACACCTTCCTCCCATCAGCTGTCCTCGAGTAGGGAGTCAGTCCCGCTCCCTTCAACTGTATCTCCCATCTCTCCCCTGACCTGTTGACAATCTCCCCAAGGTACCTGCCATAAACAACCAAACAACATTGAGGGTTAACAAGCTCCGCGGGCTGCTAACGTCACAGAAACTAGGTCCTCTACTGGTACCCGATGCTGGATGTGGGCACAAGTTAATTAAGCTACAGCTCAGGGCCTCACAATCAGCAGGGGCTTCACACAAACAATTTCAAGTAAAAAAAAAAGTTTCAATTTGCAAATTATACACAATCAGGGCCTCACAATCAGCAGGGGCTTCACACAAATAATTTCAAGTAAAAAAAAAAGTTTCAATTTGCAAATTAGTCTTTTAGAGAATTATTTAATTTCAGTGTTTTTTTTATACACATTCTTTATTGTGTGTTTAAACGGCAAAATATTTACATGATCCATATTTTAAATGAAGTAAACATTATAATATTTTCTTAGATTAAGTGCTTTAATTTAAAATGATAGGGGCCTCAAGGCTGTATATAGCTTAGCACAACAAGATGTATCGATGACAGAAAAAGTACAACCAAAAAAAACATGGAATACAAATGATGAAACACAACACATGAAACACAAGTAACTAACAAAACAAATGAAATATAGTTGAGGAAGAAACATGTGACTCTCACACCTAAATACACACATTGCAGCCCCATCTCCAAGCTGCCCTGAGAAATAGCCAAACTGATGACCACAGTAGCAGTGGGCAGCAGGTTCGGACCCAGGAAGAATCTTGTTGCCGCTGAAATACTCCACAAACTCCGGCCTCTTCACCTGGTCTTCTGTGATGTCCAGGAGGCTCAAGGCTGGTAGAGAGGCACACACTAAACCTGGGTTCACAACAGGGGTAGGGTTGACTCGCGAGAAGCAAGCACCTGGCACCTGCACATAAAGTTGATAAAGTTCACTGATTACTGATTAAGAATTGACATCAAAGCACACTGGGCTTACCCAAAGATGCTCTGTCTCCCGCAGCAACTTTTTTAAAGTGTAGATACTAACTGGTCTCTTAGAATACTTATTACACACATTGTTCTTTTCCTCTCATTCGCCTATCCTTGCCGAATCTGAAACTTAATTCCTTATTCACACATTTGAATCCAGATTATTTCTTCTAACCTCATGTCTTCTATCAGCACTCGTTCAGAAATGCTCATCAGAATTCCCCTTTGTTCAAGCATTCCTGTAGCTGCATTAACTCTTTCAGGCCCATGAATTTTGTAACCAGAAAATCCTCTCTTTCATTCCCCCGCACAGTTTATCAATGTGAGTTCCTCAACTACTGATGTGTCACTCATTTTCGTCCACTTAAAATCGTCCACATTACCGACTGAGAATCAGACACAATAATTCCTATGGTAACTCTATATTCTGCTATCCACCTTAGAGCTGCAGCAACTGTCTCCACCTCCATCCTCATGCTTGTTGTAGATAAAAATTCAAAGTTGTAAATAAAAATTCAAAGTTGTAGATAAAAATTCACCATCTTGATCATGATGGGGGGCTAACTGTCCCAATATTTGGCCTGCTTGCTTTTGCTGCATCGGATGATAATTTGTTCATCCAGTTTACATGTTCCAAGATATTTAAACTCAAATGCCTGTTTAATATATGTATGCTCTAATGCTATATTTAAATTGTTATTTTTTTCTTCCTATTGACATTACTTCTGTCTTTTCAATGTTGGTTCTCACATTATTTGATTTACATTCTTCATTAATTTGTGGATGTGAGATGTTGATGTAAATTAATGGCTGTGTCTGCAATCAAGGCCTGGTCATCAGCAAAGAGTAATTCATTGACTTCCTTGCTACCTTTCTTAATACATCTCCAGGTATGAAATATATGAATCACATTGTCATGTTAGACTGTACATTGTCCACAGAAAATCTACGACTAATTAAGTGATTACCATGGTAACTTCAAATTTACCATGTACTTTTTTTTGTTTCCTTAAAGCAGGATAGTTCAGTTTTATTGATGCAGCTTCAGCTAGTTTTAGTAAATGTCTAATCAATGTTTGGCAAATAATTCTCAAGGCACACAGAACATTACCATAGGCAAGCAGTACAGCTGGAGTTGTATTAGACCGAAATGGAGGCATTAGGACTGAGCTGGCTACACGAAAAGCAGCTGCCAGGAGACTCTTCCAGGCCATAAACTGAGGGTTTCTTAGCAAAAGAGAAACTGGCAAGAGGACAAAAATAGCTGTTTACCGCTCTACCTATGTACCAGTCCTGACCTATGGGCGTGAGTCATGGGCAATGACAACAGCAATAGAAGCCAGCTTCAGGCCTTAGAAATGGACAAAGTCCGCAATCAGACAATATGTCAAGATCTTTATACCCAGTCCTTACAAACCCAAGTGGATCAGTCACAGTTACGATGGTTTGGACATGTATGCAGAATGGGAGAAAACTGGCCATCGTGGCAGGCTAAGAACCAGGGAAACAAACCTCCTGGGCAACCCAGGGAAGACAACGTTTGAAGTCCCTAACCGACAGAAGCGTCTGGCGATCTCTCTGGCAAACCTCTACACCCCAAGGTAGAAAAAGAGCGACTAAGTAAAGTAAAGTAGTATAGCAAATACTTGAAATGATATACAAGGACATGGAGAGTTACCTGTCTCTGAGTCTTCTCCTCACTCTCATCCACCGGCAAACACCTGAGAGCACGGTTCTGAAAATTCAATGTCTCCAGCGTGGGCTGTAACCCAGCCATCCTGTGGAGAAAAGACTTGACTCTGTACCCCGTAGACACCAATACATTCGGTTCTTGTGGCTGCCTCTGTCTCCGGTCTTCCTCACCCAAGTCTCCGCTCACGGTGAAATAAAGTCTGCGTTTCAGCTTCAGTTGTGGCAGATCTGGGCTTGTGTTTCCCACAGAATGTTCTCCAGGCTTTGGATGTACTGGAATGTTGGAACAACACCGGATTCCTAGCCTGGTACAGAGATGATTCATCAACAATGACTAGGAAAGTTACCTGTCTGCATGAACTTCGGCAGAGATCTGAAAGTAGAGGTATTTCTAAGTAACAAGTATTTAGCCACTTTGCTGCCTAAGGTATTTTATACATATTTATTGAAGTTACGAATGAAAATAATTATTATAATTATTTGAGGGTGGTCACAATATGAGGGAACTGATTCAAGGGTCACGGCATTAGGAAAGTTGAGAGCCAGGTGGTCCACACACAGACACAGCCCTACTATAACAGACACTTTGTGGAAATATTACACGATTTGTTTGTAGCTGAGTTATGAGTTAGATTATCTTCACAGCACTCCGGACACATCTATAGGCGATCAGATTCCCCTCTCAACATATTCATCAGCATCACGCAGTTAATAGTGCCAGTCCTATGTTGTTTAACAAGACTTTGTGTGCATCCGGTGTGCTCCTCATGCTTGGCTCTTCCGATCTTTACTCCCAATTCGGGTATTCTTAGCAGTGATGTGGACACGTTGCTTCCAAACTCCTCAGAACATCCTATCTCTGTAAGGGCAATGACAATGTTTACATGATCCATGGGCGGCCATCTTCAGTTAATGCAGCACCTGCCAGTCTATCAGCTCTTTCATTACGCACAACACTGTATGCCCTGGTACAAATATAAAGGTAACTGCACACACAGAAGAGTTTTGCAATGACTCAAGCCACTGTTTGCGTAACCAACCTGCCTCGACCCGCCGGATCATGCTCAAAGAATCTCTCAGCAAACACACGCGGGAATAGTCCTGTGATCCCAGCCACGTGAAAGCTTGTGTCACCGCCATCACCTCCATCATCATGCTGCTGGTGGTCATGGAGAAGGCACCGCTCGCTTCTTAAACTGTTCTGCCTGAAGAGCGAGCTGTAAATGCCCATGCACTCTTATGTCCTCGTATAACAAACCCGTCTATGAAGATCACCACATCTGTCCCATCTGACTTGTCACTGATAAGCGTGCATACCTCGGCATTGACAGCAGCTGGATTCTGCTCCGGACAACTCCTATTGAGCGTCACGACACAGGAGATTGGGCGCTTTAGACGCTGGTATCCATTCCTCACCTGGATGGATGTCTGTAATGCTGCAAAGCTGCAGGTCATCAGCTGCCCTACCCAGCCATAACGTGCCCCTTTTGAGTCCCAAGGAACGCATCATTCGTTCATAGGTTCCTACCTAGAGGCCCGATAAACGCAAGATGCGCTGATTTTACATCTTTCTTGACTACCCCTTGGGCTTCTGATGCTAAACCCCCTGGGACTCAAAGAGTTAAGCCTATTGCCCTTTTTCTGGAAGAGCATGTGGTGCAAAGGGTGCTTCAGATCTGAGTTTATCTTGAGGTATACACGAGCCCTCCAGATTTTTTGTAGCATGTAGCGGCTATCCTCTGAATAACGGCCACATATTATGGCGGCCAAAAACACACCCTGACAGGACCTCAGTCACATGTAAATTGCGAACTTCTGGTGACTTAAATTGCAGACCGGCGACTATACCGCCACCGCCACTACTCACTTTGATCTGAAGTCCCAGCAATCTACTAGTTTAACCCCGCTCCGCGGAAGATACTCTCGGCGGTGGCGGTATAGTCGCCGGAAGTCCGAAATTTATATGTGACTGAGGCCCTATTTTTGGCCGTCATAATATGTGGCCGTTATTTGGAGGATAGCCCGTATATCTGTATGACATGCTCTGTGATAAGTAATGGCAACTTTTTTTTTTAAACACAACTAGTACTACCTTACTTTACTAATTCTTAGTAATCACGTATCGCCATTCTCACCTCTTAAGTCTTCCCATGTATTGTCTACTGAAAAATGAGTTTTAATTATGATATACACTACGGAACGACTGCACACGGAAGGGGCCTGTTGTTTCCAGTCCTGGACCAGTCGCCATAACTGATTTCGTAGTTCAGTCCCCTTGGTTCATAGGTCATGAGGCTGCACTTTGTTGGTTGTTGTCCGTGATATTTCAGTACATAATGGGCTCTTTAAGCACAGGGTTAGTTAAATCTGGTAATTTTAGTTTCAGCTTTATAGCAAACAGGTCACCCCATAGGTGCCAACGAGAAACACATAGAATGTTTATCACAGACCTTTCTGGAAAGATTGACAGACTGCTGTCTCAGCATGTGCACTAGCATACACACGCATTAAAAGCATACGGTAGCCATCCGAAGTGCTAACACAAACAGTCCGACATTAGAAATTCAGTTCATCATGGATGGTAGCAGAAGTCACCAACGCAATCAGTTTTAATCACATAACGGCATGACCAATATTGCGACAACAGGAATCTAGCCATTTTCTGTGTGATGCGTTGAAGGGGACACTCGGGCGCCAGTCCTTCACTGTTCCGGTTTTACGGAACCTCATGCAAGACTCCTGCAGCACGTCCTCGTCGTGCGCTATGGATGACGTCTCAAATGAGCATTAACAGTAACATAACATAACATTCTAGTAGTACGTGCAGGTGACACGAAACTAAAATAAATACTTACAGTTGCGGTCAAGGAATTTGGCTGCAACTTAAAAAACGGGCACAAAAGATGGCGGCCAATGGCAGAGAAAAAACAGGGCCTCAGTCACGTATCAATTGCGCATTTCCCGCGACTTAATTTGAGGCGACTACCGCCATCGCCGAGAGTATCCCAAACGCCGCTCACACGGCGTGGAGTGGGGCTAAAGTAGATGGCTAGGACTCACGAGCAAAGCTAGTTTAGCCCCAATCTACGCCGCATTAGCGGCGTGGGGAAAACTCTCGGCGGTGGCGGCAGTCGCCAGAAAACCGCAAATTAAGTCACCCCACGTACGCAACTGATACGTGACTGAGGCTCTGTCAGGATGTTTTAGCGGCCGCCATCTTTTGTGCCTGTTATTCGGAGGATAGCCGGGATTTTGTCTAGTAGTACGCAAGGGCACACAGTACCGTCACCATTTGTAAGGCTTAAATCGTTTCAGCTTTATGGTAGCAGACACTTTGATGTGTACCTGCGCCGTTTTAGACACATTGTGGTAAGTACCTGCGCCGTTTTAGACACATTGTGGTGAGTACCTGCGCCGTTTTAGACACATTGTGGTGAGTACCTGCGCCGTTTTAGACTCACTGTGGTGAGTACACGCGTTGTTTTAGACACATTGTGGTGAGTACACGCGTTGTTTTAGACACATTGTGGTGAGTACACGCGTTGTTTTAGACACATTGTGGTGAGTACCTGCGCCGCTTTAGACACATTGTGGTGAGTACCCGCGCCGTTTTAGACACACTGTGGTGAGTACATGGGCCGTTTTAGACACACTGTGGTGAGTACATGGGCCGTTTTAGACACATTGTGGTGAGTACATGGGCCGTTTTAGACACATTGTGGTGAGTACATGGGCCGTTTTAGGCACACTGTGGTGAGTACCTGCGTTGTTTTAGACACATTGTGGTGAGTACCTGCGCCGTTTTAGACACATTGTGGTGAGTACCTGTGCCGTTTTAGACACACTGTGGTGAGTACCTGCGTTGTTTTAGACACATTGTGGTGAGTACATGGGCCGTTTTAGACACACTGTGGTGAGTACCCGCGTTGTTTTAGACACACTGTGGTGAGTACCTGCGCCGTTTTAGACACACTGTGGTGAGTACCTGCGTTGTTTTAGACACATTGTGGTGAGTACCTGCGCCGTTTTAGACACATTGTGGTGAGTACCTGCGCCGTTTTAGACACATTGTGGTGAGTACCTGCGCCGTTTTAGACACATTGTGGTAAGTACATGCGTTGTTTTAGACTTATTTTGGTGAGTACCTGCGCCGTTTTAGACACATTGTGGTGAGTACACGCGTTGTTTTAGACACATTGTGGTGAGTACACGCGTAGTTTTAGACACATTGTGGTGAGTACCTGCGCCGTTTTAGACACATTGTGGTGAGTACACGCGTTGTTTTAGACACATTGTGGTGAGTACACGCGTTGTTTTAGACACATTGTGGTGTGTACCTGCGCCGTTTTAGACACACTGTGGTGAGTACCCGCGTTGTTTTAGACACATTGTGGTGAGTACCTGCGCCGTTTTAGACACATTGTGGCGAGTACACGCGTTGTTTTAGACACATTGTGGTGAGTACACGCGTTGTTTTAGACACATTGTGGTGAGTACCTGCGCCGTTTTAGACACATTGTGGTGAGTACACGCGTTGTTTTAGACACATTGTGGTGAGTACACGCGCCGTTTTAGACACATTGTGGTGAGTACCCGCGTTGTTTTAGACACATTGTGGTGAGTACCTGTGCCACTATTCACACGAAAATATAAATCCCACAAACCCCGTTAAAAATGATAAAAATGTAACCCTGAGCCCAGACACCGGTAGGACGCCATTGTCTTTCCAAATCAATCAGTCAGTTAGCATGTCTTTTAGAGAGCGTCGCTCTTTTAACTGTACGCCTGTAAATCTGTGTTTCCCGGGGCAGTTGTCCAGCCGTGTATGTTTGCTTTCAGATGACAAGCGATGCTAACTTCACTGCCCTGCGTCCAGTTTGGCTGAATATGTTCTCATAAAGTTACACACCCTTGATTGTTGTCTTATACTATGTTATCCATTCGACGTCTTTGCATATTGAGCATCAGCATACGTGCTCAGTCTTCCGATGTAGCAGCAACTCTAAAGTACCTCTACTGTCTGTTTCCATGAGGAGTTGGTAGTAGTATCTCCTGTCTTTACCTAAAAAACGACATAGACGTCCTTCACCAAGCTTAACTCCTGGGTCACGCAGTCGTGTTTGTCGGCGTCAGAGATTCGCCCAACCTAGTCCCTACAGCGTTGATGCAATCATCTCTGTCCATGCTTCTTCTCATTTGCATTCGTGCATTACTTGCCAGCTGGTCAGCTCTTTCATTCTTATTCACTGTTGCGTGCCCACACCGTGCCCACAGGCTAGCATCTAGCAGCTACACCACGACGGCTCCCGAAAGGGACAAATTCCT